ACAACAGAGGGTCAAGCTCTCTTAAGGCGAGTTTCACATTCAGCACCATTTAACACTCCGCTGCTGCAGCCTTAAGCACCACACCTGATGGAAACACCTACTGTATGGATTTAGACTTGGCCCAAAACAAAAGGGATCCTGTTTATTTACTTTGGCAAAAACAAGTAAACAAGGTGAAAAATCTTTGAGGGAGGCACGGCGAAACATGAAACACACAGGAACAGTTTAGTGATTCAATACTGCTCAGCCAAAGGCACTTTTACAAACATGGGTAGAACAAAGACGCTAGACAACACAAATGCACTGAACACACACACACACACACACACACACACACACACACACACACAAAATCAATCATCAATGTTTTTTTTTCTTTATATTTGTAGCATCAAACTTTTTGATAAGATTCATGTCGGATGTGTGATGTGTCCGAACAAAGAGCACTGACAGGAGTTTAACACAGCTTTAATGGCACATTGACAAACTGCAGCAGAGATTAAACTCTGTGCTCATCAACCAGACCAGGGTACGCTTTGTAAAAAAAAACAAAAAAAAACATGCTAATAGGCAAATTATAAAATACTAAAATATTTAATTTAACACTTCAGAATTAGTATAAATTTCTTGACCATTTCCTGCGGAGCTTGCAGCCCTTAGTTTAAAAGCTACTCGCTAAAACATCTGGCTTTAACCTGCATTACTGTAGCCACATGTGGGCAGTGGAACAGGCTGTAAACACAACACTGACACATTGTCACCTCATAAAGTTGGTTTGGGGAACTAAAGCTGCTTCCTGTGACTGAAAACGAGAATGAGCAGATCGGTGAGTGTGGACCAAAACATTAAAGTTGCAGAAGCTAAAAGACTCTAAAGATGGTGGAAGTGGAACTGAAAAATCTGGTGATAATTCTGACGTGGGATCAGCTTTCACATTACACTTTGGTTTTTAATGCATTGTTGATATAAAAATATTGATTAGCGCAGCTTTAAAATACCTCATATCCCATGTAATGTTCGTTTTTTTATTAACCGCATTAAATTCCCTTTGCCAAACTGCAGCATTGAACAGTGGCATCCTCTCAAACAAGCACAAAGTTTGACCGTGTGCTGCAAACAACATTTCTAACCGACGCCCGTATTATCTTGCCTCATTTCTGATTTAAGAGTCAGACGCAACTACACACTTTCTACATCTGTACATAGATGTCGAACAGCTCAGAGATGACTGTATGCCTCCTCTCACCGTCACAGATTAAGCGAAACGCAGCCCTCAAATGATTCAGCTGTGCAACGGTCACGTCTGAGTCTGAGAGCACAGTAACTGCTGCTACAGTATTGTGATCATGTGTGTTTTCCTGTGCAGAGCGAGAGAAAGAGAACCAGATCTGAATAATGGATCCCGGTGTGGCTTCAGTAAACGTGGAGTCTGCTGTAGAAAGCCGGGGCTCAGAGGTGCAACTTACCAGCTAAAGAACCTCGACTTTACCTGACACCCGAATAAGAATTTTAAATGAGCATCACAGTTTTTTTAATTCATGGACTGCAGGGATGAAAGCTTGTTTCCTCTGCCTCCTAACATCACTTCGACATCTTCATTTGTGTTTTCCTCACCAGATGTAAAACTCTTGTCGCATCTTTAACACCGCTGTCACATTATCCGAGCGGGTCCGAATGCCCTGCGTCGACCTTTAACACACTGCCAACACGGGATGCTACGGCGAGCTGAAACCTAGCAACGTTAGTGACGTAACGTTGTATGGAGTGTGCATTTTCTTTTATCCTCTGTTGCCTAACAACCAGCGGTAATCAGATGTCTCACTGAGGAGTCAAGTGTCAATTGGCCAAAGTAAGTATGGATGTAATGCAGCTGGTGTGAATGTTTTTTTATTCTGCAGAGGAGACAGACGAAGCAGAACAAGTGTCTTTTGTAACTCGAGAGATTTCCAGACTCAAATATCGAATAAAACTAGAAATCTATAAATAGACTTTTCTAACAAGCTTGAACTTTGTGAGACTGTTGAGATACTTCAACATGTCTTTAAGACACATTACAGTTTCTTTCTCAAGCCCTGCACTCGTCCGATATGATTTTCTTAAGCTGCAAAAGTCTCGTCGTCTCTTGGATTTTTTCTCTGTGACCGGTGAACTGTCTGGCTAAATATGTGCTTCAAATATTGATGAAAACATTCCTCGGGATATGGAGTTTAGGTTGACTAACCTTCTGCAGGACCAGCATTCACTCACTTCCTGCTCGAGGCGTGTGAGGCTGGTTCTGTCTGTAACCAAATAAAAAGTGTCCAACCACCTTCTCACCTTCAGCTCAAACACAGCCAGAGTTTTTTTTTACTGTGTATTTAGAAAAACACTAAATGCTCCTGTAGATTTGAAATGGTCGACAGTTTTCTCTGTTTCATGTAGAAAACGTGTCGTAGTTGAGGTCTGATTAATGTGAATCACTGTTGATTTATTAATGGGCTTATTAGCACAGTTATTTACAACGCGTTACCCTGGTTAAAACATTGCCACAGTCAAATTGATCCAACAAGGCTGCCGTAACCAGATAGTGATTACAACACACACAGTATATATATATAAAGAGATTTTCTTGTTTGTATAATCACTTTGTTATGGCAGTAAACACAACTACTTAATGTGTGAGGAAAACAGGAAGTACAGAGAGTTCTCTGAAAAGTATAATTATAAGGTTCATAAAGTATAAATCCACATGCACTAGAGATGTGTAATCAAGGTTTGGGAAATACTCCCGTCTCGTTTTATGTGGTCGACTGCAAACCACAACACTAATAGACTGGAAACGGGCACTTATGAATTACACTGTCTTTGTTGCTCGGAGGTACCCTGTGGAGTTTTACTTGTAAACAAATGTAAGTTATTTTTCTCATCAAAATGTATTGTGTATATCTAACAAACACTCTCCGAATTCATTTCCTTTCTTGTTTGAAATATTTCAGTTGTGCGATGTTTACATCACCACTCTTCCGTCTGCAGGTGCACGGATACATTTCTTTGCATGTTAATCAGTGGAATAGTACGAAACCAGCTGAGACAAATCACATGACCCGCGCGCTTTTTGGCGTCTACAGCGATGGACAATGGGTCCTTGGATGCTGGACGTTTCCTCCTGCATATAGGAGGAAGACCCCCACAGTGAAAGAGGAACTAAACCTCTTTGTTTTTGTCTCTTTGTAGCTGTTTTGTTTTATTTTGTAGTTGTTTTGTGTCTCTTTGTAGTGATGTTGCTACGTACAACTGATCGCCTCCTTCCATCTGGTACGGAGGCGGCGTCAGTGCGGTGGCCTCGGAGAGCTCGACGCTCTGCAGCTGAAGAAAACACATGCAAATATACCAACGCGCTGCAAATTCAAAAAAAAAAAAATAAAAATAAAAAAAGGTTGCAGTGCGTTGAGCTCTCCGGGCCACCGTACATCAGGGATTCAAACAAGAAGGGGGCAAGCTCATGAAAACCCTGCTGCATAGCGCCTCTAGTGGTCAAAGTACATTTGTGTACATTTAACTCACCATCATCAAATGTCTTCCTACTTGTTACTGCGGCAGTCATTATATTAAAGTAACTATCAAATCAAGCGGTCGAACTACTGGTCCGTCACCCTTAGTGGAACACATAATAAAATCAGTCATATATTTGGGAAACTCTCCAGGTCCCTTCTTTGCCCGTCAACTTTAAACAAACACTAAATATAAAAGACGAGAGTCAATGGAACAATCAATACTGACATACAGCACAGTGACACACAAAGTCACACAGTACCAACAGCATAGTTTGGATTAAAGGATTACTATAAGGACACTTATGCTTGCATCTGTACAGGTAAAATATTTCCTTATTTATAAAATTCCTTATAAAGTGTCAATGCAATTAACATTAAAAATTGCATAGCCATGTCATATTCATTATCCCTGCCAGACTGCTTAGAGTACAATCACCTATTTGATCCATGGCATGGTAAATGAGGATATCTATCTGCTTCCAAACGTTATGATTAAACTCAAACATAAGGCCGTATGTGTTTGTATGAGTGGAGTGTGATGATTGTACTGTTCAGGCCAACGAGAAAAATAATCTACTGTATTCATCAAAGCAAATTCTATAGGAAAGTATATGAGAAAATATGGTGTTGAAAAAAAGGGGAATTGCGTTCAACAGCTGCCTCTTGCAAATTTTTGTTCTTGACACTGAAAACGGCTCCTGTGTTTCTAATCAGTACGCTGAAGGTAATGTTTAATATAGTTGCATACAAACTAAGTACACAGGAAATATGGCAGTTTAAATTCAACTCTTTGGTGTTCAATCAGGGCAGAACTGTTTTGTAATAATGATCTCGAGTGTGTTATTTTATCCCTCTGTGTGAACTGTCGGTGGATTTGCACCATAATAAAGATGAAAGAATAAAATGAACGCTCCAAACAATTTACAGTTTGCTCATGGTTTTTTTTTTTTTTTTTTTGTTTTTTTTTTTTCTCTAAACACTGCTGAAGCCACAGTCGTACAACACGTGCGTCCGCGGCGTCTTCACCTGCGGGGCAGATGTGTCCAACACTTTGCATGTTCTGCTGGAGTCAGTTCTCACAAACAACCAGTCAGAGAGGAACATTTGAGCTTTGCATGCACACACGCGTGGCTGTGCAGCGTGGCTGAAAGATACAGGGTGAAGATAATAATGATATGAAATAATAACGATATGTGGGTGATGTATCCTGTAACTGGTGGATTTTGAGTGATTTTAAGCAACAGTTTAACAATCTGGGAAATTTGATTTTTTGAGAATTGGATGAGACGATTGATGCCACTTTTACGGTACGGTAGCTTAGCATAAAGAAAACGGGGATATTAGCTAGCCTGGCTCTGTCAGTAGCTCCAAAGCTAAACAAATAATGTAATAATATAAATTTTTGAAAACATAAGTCGTAAAAAAAAGACGTAGTTTTATGGGGGGGGTGTGGTGGATTGGACAGAGTCAGGCTGTTTCTGTTTTTTGTTGCTAAAGCTAAGCTAACCGCCCGGCGACTGTAGCATCATACTTAGCGTACAGGCATCAATCTTCTCGTCTCGCTCTCGCCAAGAAAGTGTATCAACGTATTTCCCAAAATGTGGAACTATTCCTTTAACAGCAACACAGTTAAAAAAAAAACAACAACAACAAAAACACTTCTTCTTCTTCTGTGATTGTACCGAGTCAATAGATAATGTCTGCAGGTGAACACGTGATGCTATTTCTTGTTACTGAAGGTGAATATATATATAATTATATATATATATAGAGGGATATATATGTGTATGCTGAGGAATGCAAGCGTGTGTGGATGGGTATGTTTGCGAGAGAGAGAGAGAGAGAGAGAGAGAGAGAGAATGAGAGAGGGAGAGAGAGAGAGAGAGAGAGAGCGTTGGATTATCACAGTGGAGGTGACCGGGCGGCGGCTTGTTCAGAGGTCAGTGGTGGCCTTGGCGGTGAGGGCCTGGATGCGGCTGGTGTTACAGTTTTTGCAGAGGACGTGTCCGTCCAGAGGGTAGCAGCCCTGGTTGTCCCCCTCTGAGAGCAGGGAGCCACAGTCCTGCAGGACACAGATACTCCCGTCAGTCCGTGCACACAAACAGAGACATTAGCCACGCTCAGCGATCACACACTCTCTCACACACACACACACACTCGCTGTGCGCACGCCCCAAAATGAGACACTTAACTGCTGTTTAAACACCATCAGCCTGCGTCAAGTTACAGTCGCTCTCTGCAGCAAAACCACAAGTTACATTTCCTATGAGCTGATGAGCTGATTATAGTCGGTCAAGTGTCATTATTAAGTTCCATTCCTCCTTTTCATTTTAAAACAAAAATATATCATCTCCCGTCTCCATGGACACGATATCCGTGGATTCGATTTGTTTTTCTTCTGTGTTTAATGATTTTGTTGTCACAGGTATCAACAGATATAGACAGAAAAATATCTATACAACGTGTTCTTCAGAGGACGAACGCTGATGGTTGTGATTCCTTTACTTTTCCATTAATGTCTCAACCACTTGTTGGATGTTTTGCTGTGAGATTTAATAAAGTCATTCATGTTCCCCTCAGGATGAACTAGCGCCACCATCAGGGCAAAAGTCTCCTGCTTCCTTGTTATTTTCCACGTCGTAGTTTCTAAGGCAAGTGTCAGATTGATTCAGTCTATACTGACTCTCACTCATGCAGATCACAAATACCGCAGTGATGTGTTTGTGTCTTTATATATAGCTCGTTCTCCCCTGATGAAGGTCTCGCTGACATGGAAACGCCGCCCTATTGTGCGGATGTTCTGTCTGACTCCTGCCCTCAGTTTTTGGATCTAACACCTGTAAACACACGTTACAGGTTTTACTGTCATTTGTTGGCCTTTTTGTTTTTGTTTCTTAGAGCTCTGAACACACACACACACACACACACACACACACACACACACACACACACACACAGACACACAGACACACCCATTGCTTCGGCATTATTTTCTCATTGTCTGTGACACCGGGTTACACTTTCACCATCTCTCTCTCGCTCTCTCACACACTCACACACACACACACACACACACACACACACACACACACACACACACACAGAATTGCAGCTCCACCTACTCATGTCTCCCTGGTGACAAAATTCTTCTCTTGTTGAGCCCCTTCAGCTGAACTAATCTGCTTTGCTTTCATTTGACCTTTATGTCTGCCAAACGCTGCGTGTTCTCACACTGGCACGGTTCTTTGACAATGTGACGCGTTACCTCTCTGTTAGCCGGGCACGTAATGTCTCAGCGCAGCTTATCAGCCGGCGAGTGGCGGCTGACTGATTGGTTACTATGTAAGTCCATGAACTTTGCAGAGGGGAGAGATGGAAAGCTATTTTGAGGCGGGTAAGAGAGGGATGATTCACTCGTCTCGCTAAAAAGGTGAGTCGGGGGACGGGCATGTGCGTTATGCCTTACACTTTCACGCCATAATGACTATCACCTGCAGCTGTGCAGCACGGTACGTAACCGCTGCTGCTAATTATGTGGAGCTCAGATACCAGCAGAGATAAACACACAGATCACATACCTCACAGCGGTAGCACTGCACGTGGAAGTCGCGGTCCAGGGCCACAATGCGGACGGTCTCCTCCTGGCCCGGCGCCGGCATTATTGGCTCAGAGCACACACAGCAGCGTGGAGCAAACTTCCTGTGAGAGACAACCAAGAGCAGCAGACAGGAGCTCAGAACGACGACAGCGATGAGACTTCACGTCGACCTTCTGTGACACGATTTCAAACAAGCGTCGGTCGGTGAGAAGTTTAGTGAAATCCACACTGTTTGTCGACCGGCTGTAACTAGTTCAACCAAAAAGGTTTTTTTTTGTTTTATTTAATTTTAATAATTTTTAGAGGCCTAAAATGAAAAGATGATCCAGTATTAAAACGGCCCTCAGGACCCCTGAGTTTTCACTTGTGAGCCCTCGCATGGGGCCGAACCCCAAGTCAGAGAACCGCTGGACTAACTGATCTAGTTTCAGTTCTTCACACAAGAGTAAATATAGGATTTATTACAAAGAACAACTGTGGTAACACATCATGAAAAAAATGCTTAAACTGCATTTTCCACCCTCCCTTGGTTTAAGTATTTTAAAATTCAGATATTGAGGTGGCACTAAAAAGTTAAATTTGCTCTTCTCTGAAATATTTCATGTAAATAGAAGATTTGAGGAACGGGAGGGGGAGGGGGGGGGCTTATTAAGTGCTTGAGAATCAGGAAGTGAGGGGACTTCATGGCTTTGGGGAAACACGGACATACAGGGTTAGCCAGAAATAAACAACAAAGAAAAAACAAAACAAGCTCCGGTCCGGGACGTGACTATTCCTCGACACAGAAGGGCCGCACCGCCGAGGTCACACTTGTCATGTGGAATTAAACAACGGCCCGCTGCAGCTACTCCGCAAAGCAAAAGCTGTGCACTCACACCAAGAGACAGCTGTTTACTTCTGTTTCCCTTCTGGTCACTGAGTAAAGGAACATTTCTGGTAAGGTAGCAGTTATGCAATCAGAGAGTGACACAATAACAGGAATTTACTATTAAATTCACGTCCACAGCTGCATCTCATAAGATCACTGGGCTTGTGAAACTGTTTGCAGGATTTCCCGAAAAGGAACCACAAAGATCTTGTACTGGTAAGACTTAAATATAGATGAATCTGTACAGTGAGTTAAGGATTTTAAAGCAGCATAGCTTGATTTTTTTTGTTTGTTAAACACCACATATTATCACCTCATTAAGTTGTGTTGTGAGCCTAGCTACACATCTAGCAGACACGGAGCAACATTAGCATTATCTGTCATGTTTTTTCTGGCGTAAGTGTAATTTTAATTCTCATTTCAGCTCCGTTACGAGATAAACGCCAGCTGCTAAACGCTCTGCAGCGATCAGCAGCTAGTCGTTAGCTGTGTCCGGCAGGTAGTGAGTGAGTTTATCGGAGCTCTTTCAATAAAAACAGAGTGAAAATGAACCAAAACAATGAGCCGAGAGACAGTAAAACGCCTCATAGAGCTGAGGGGGATCTGCACAGTTGAGTGTTTGTCACTACGAACTTTTCTCACATCACTCTTCATCCATTGGTAATATAAAGACAGTCAGTAAATACTTAAATACTCAATTTTGGAAAATAAACTAGTTTCTTGCGTTATTGGAGAAGTTGTGTTTAGCTTTGTGTCTTCTTTACTCAGCATGCTAACAAAACTAAACTGAGGTTGTAGGAGCATTAGCACGTTAGCTAACAGTTGGATGCAGTGACTGTGCGCTGCACTTCAGATGTCCTGTGTTCAGTGTGGGGTTGTAGGTTTTACACACTGTTGTAAACATCATTTGGATTGGATGAAACTGCAAGAAACCCAAAGCTACTGGTTTTATCCAGCAAACTGTTTTGAGGTTTTGAGAAAGTTTTCGAAACAGGAAAAGTGAACTGAACCTAACTCAACTCTCCTTTTAGCTCTGTTTTGGTCTCTGTTGTTTGGCGCTGGGCAAGCAGCATATAGTTGATGTAATAAGATATTTCGTTCGCTGAGATCAGCTGGCGACTGTGGCTAGAACGTGGAGGTCGGTGAGAGCGGTGAGATCCAACCAGGTAAAGCTGGAGGCCGTAAAAACCAAAAACATCGAGCTGAAAGGCGCTAAAATGCTTCACAGAGCTGAGGAGAACGACAGAGTCGGGCGAGATCATCAATACAAGTGACCACTTTTAGATCATGTTGTTAGTTATTAGATCCATGGTTAATATAAAACTGCTGATGAGCGCAGCTTCAGTTACTTACTTGTGAAAGTCCTCGATGCAGTGGATGTGGTTGGAGGCGTCCACGGTGAAAGGGATGCCGTCCAGGCTGCGGTGGCACACCACGCAGGTGAAGCAGTGAGGGTGGTAGGCTTTCCCTGTAGCCCGCAGGATGCGCTCCATGATGGGCTTACTGCAGATGGTGCAGGTCTCAAGGGTGTTCTGTAGAAACAAACACACAAGCCCACGGACACCCACATGATTAACCCAATAAACCTGATGATGAATGTAGATGAGTCATTCCCGACGGCCCTTTAAGTGCTTGTGTACGATCACATTTTTTTCAAGCATCATGAAAACTTTGGGAAAGTGCTCCTGCGTTTCCTTGTGAATTGAAACTTTCTGTTTTCCAGCGTTACACTTCAGGTGGCTCTCTTCCCACTCCAGCTTGTGCAACAAATAAATCCGCACTGAGGACCTTTAGCTCGGCTGTCCTCAAATGCCTCTGAAGCTGAAGGAATCTGATTAGCACTCCCCTCGAAACACAAACACAGTCATTTATCAGCCGCCCTCACCCACACTCCATCCTCCCATATGCAAGAGTGTGAGCAGTAAATATTTCCACTTTGTGATGACTGCAGGTTTTCTGCAGCCAGGCGACTGGGCAAGCGGCCCGCGGGGGGACGTGGCGGCCGCCTGCCTCTGACTTATCTGTGGCATCTCTCTTCTTAATATCTGCCGGGAGACGCCATTTGTTATTTCGATATTTTATAAATAACGACTGCCTCTCTAAACAGCAATGCAATTACGTGGGGGGGTGGGGTGGGGGGGGGGTGGGATAATATCATGTGAGGTGATCATGTGCGCCTGAATGTGGCTGTGCTGTTAGCTTTGAATTGGGCCCCACTGTCGCTGCTCTCTCGCTCAGCATTTCCTGGATCTCTGTGTGTCTCTGTTCTCCGCCCCACCATCCACCCCTCCCCTCCCACCCCTCCCACCCCTCTCTTTCTGCGCTTGGCTGGGCTAAAGAGTGCACGGTTCAGCTGTTCCCATTGGCTCCCAGTGTAGTAGCAAGCTGCCTCAGTGTTTCCAAACACAGCTCGGGGTGTGTAGCAACACTGCGCTGCGTCATCGGCTACCTCCCAGACGCGCCGCCGGGGCCTGCCGCTTAAAATGACACTTGTGTGACCGCTCAGCCGGGGTAAACTCCCTGCCATCCGCTGTCCGGCCGCGGAGCACGTGCAGTGACATTTGTAGTCTATATGCTAATGAGCGACGCAGCTTCAGAGGACGAGGTTCATTGAAACTACCATGTGAAAGAGTTCCTGACGTGACTCTGTGTGCGCCGCGGTTCTGTCACTTTTACTTCTCAGGCCTCCCTCACAACACCATCATGTGCCACTGAAGACGAGAGCAGCTGATGTATGACTCCGGGCCGGAAAGCAGTGGTTTGAGAAATAGCCGTTTCTTCAAAGCACTCCTGGAGAGGCATTATTTCATAAAAAGCAATGTGTGCAGACAAGCTCCGCATTCTTATTTTTCTTTCTTTCTTTCTTTTTTTTTTTTTTTTTTTCCTCCAAGACGGTAATAGAAATAAACATTATTCCCAGGGCAACATTTGTGTATAAACAATGTCCATATTGCAATCCTGCTCGATCCTGGAAGTGGAATAAAGCCTTTAATGAGCTCGCTGCACTGAGCCCCTGAGGTTTGCCTCACACACACACACACACACACACACACACACACACTGACAGAGAGAGGTAGAGGTAGAGAGGGAGAGAGAGCGAGAGAGAGAGAGAGAGAATATATTTGCAACCTGAGAATCTGAGTAAGATACCAGGGCCAAACAGCACTAAACCATCCTCAACTCTTACTCATCTGTCTGCGTTTCCACTTACTTATTCTCATCTGCCCTTCATGTGGGAATACCTTGCCCTTGTTTAGCTTAACTAGAGCATATGATTTCACAGCACACAGTTCCTCCGGGCTATTGTAATGAGTACAGTACTCAAAAGACAAAATTTCTCTCTTTCTCTCTGATGGTGAGATTCTATGACCTCAATTCATTCATTCTGCTCAGCCTCCGTTGTTTTTTTTTTTTATTCACTCGTGACTCCTATGATTTGGTATTAAGTAACATTTATTAGCCCTGTTACACAAACGTGGGTCTGATGTTAAATGGGGAAAAACGTTACAGAGCTTCGGCCTGTAGTTGGGAACAACCTCCACAGATGGTTTAGGAAATTCTGCATGAAGCACTTGAAGCCCCCTCTCTGTCAAACATCCAGGTCCCTTGCAGTTTGCCACTAGAGGGCTGTATATGTCTGCAGATGTCCGGGTTTTTGCTTTTCCCCTGACTAAATGTGATGTATTCAAGCATATGTATTCTTTTTTTTCTCCCTCTCCCTCATACATTTCTCTAAGTGTTTGCCCAGAAGGCTAAACAAATGTCTAGGCAGATGAGGTAAAGTGAATTTAGGTCAGACGAGCTTCTTGCTGAACTGAGGGGTGAGTGGAGTGCGGTAAAGTCAATTGTGGCCCCTTTTTTCTCACTGTGAGCCGTTTCCTTCTGCCACAAAGCGCTCTCACGGTCTCACACCAAACACACTGATGCCCACGCAACTCCGGCCAGAGCTTCCCACTATTTAGCGACGGGCTCCAAAACAACGTTTGTCACAGCTGTCTGTTAGAATGAGGAGTGTGATGGCAAACAAAGCATGTTAAGAGGGAGTTAAGAGGTCCCATGTGCTCTGCTCTGAACACGAGACACAGGCCTGACGGATTGAGACAGAAACACAGATGGTAAAAACAACACAGCAAATACAGTCCAGAGTCGTTTGGTCAGAGTCTTAGAAAATGCTCCTGGGACTCATTTCCACTGGAAGTCAACTGGATCAAATGACACTGACATTAGACTTATTTAAAAACAACAAACAGGTGAAGACGATCTTTAACTTCATTAATTTAATTTACCCAATACTAGACTAAATAACAATTATTTCTCTCATTCATCTGCAGATCATTTTCTCAATTAATTGTCGAGTTGTTTTGTCTATAAAACATCATAAAACAGCGAATAAAGCCCGTCATAATTTCCCAGAGCACACACTGACTTCATCTTCGTCATATAACCCGTTTTGTTTTTTGTTCCACTAACAATCAAAAACTCCAATATATTCACTTCACGAGAGGAAAACTGCAAATCCTCACATGTGGAAGCTGGAAGCATCAAATGTTTGTGATTTCTGTTACTGATTTTATGTCAGTAACCCAAACAGACATAAGAAATTATATAAATAAAAAATCCTGCTTTTCATCCCCAATTAAAATATTACAAATAAACTGAGTTTACATTGTGTACATTGTGTAACGCACAAACACAGCTACAGGTGAAACGACGCTGGAACAAAGACGTATTCTGCATGTTTGCAGATGAAGCAGTAAAACAGCTGGAAATCAGCTGTGGCATATTGCTAAGTTTAATCTGTTTACCATCTCCTCCGACCGTATCAACACAAATTTTATACTTATCTGTTCTGTTTTTTTGTGTATTTTTTTTTTTTTTCACGTGGCTGGCAGGAGGCGGGCTGGAGTTCACTGAGACTGCACGCAATTTATGACCTGGCACGCTGAACCTGGAGTGGGCCAGATTTACAGATGATCTGATTCAGTGTGTGTGTGTGTGTGTGTGTGTGTGTGTGTGTTTGTGTGTGCTCAGACCCTCACAGAATGTGCCGGTCGGTGCCAGGCCATGCTGTGTGAATTAACTACACCCTGCTGAAGGTAGCTCAGCGTCGTCTAACAAGAGCTTGTTCGAAAGACAGATCTGAGCGCCGCCGCAGTGTTTGCTTTCCTCCGCAGTGAACAAGAGATACTGACTCGGTCGTGAACTATGAGTCAACTCGCTGACCCTCCTACTTCCTGAGGGTAGGTGTCTGCTGACTTAATGATCCTTGACAAGCAGCCTGCCTCCCTTTTATTGCTTAATATGGGTCAATCAGGCAGGACAAAAAAATAAAAAAATAAAAAAAAATCAAGTGGCGCTCAGGTGTCTTATTGTCCAACAGGAAGCGCTCAAAAATAAGAGAAGCAAAAATCAAGAGATGAAGGAACTGTGACTCATACTGAGGTGATACTGTAGAGAAAGTGAGAAAGTGACTGCGTGGGTCAACACGACTAATGTCACAATATCATACAGTCTGATGTGAGGCCGTAACCACGGCTTTAAAGGGACAGCGTCACGACTTTGGGAAGTATGTTTCTGTGGTTTGTTGCTGAGACCGTCACGTCTGAACTGTGGAGAACTGGATCCTGGTGCCCGTTCCGTCCTATCAAACTTGTTTATGCCAAAACAAAAAAAAAAACAGTGCATGTGGCCTTTCTCACGGAGCAGCGGTAGCAAAGTGGCCGGTCGTGAAATCCTGCCCTCTAACTTCAACTATTCCCTTTTTGTAGTTTGCATTTAAACTTATAATAACTTTTCTAAAAATCTGAGAATGTAAATATCAGAGTTAACACATGTAAACCTTACAAACACAGATAGGTGGCCGTCCGACAGACACGCCGTGCTGTTATGAAACACGTCTGGCTGCAGCTTCATATCTACTGCACAGCTGCGAGAGTGGCATCAATCTTCTCATGTTTTCACCGTCAAGTTATTCCTTTAAAGTTATAATATTTAACTTTTCCACATTAAAATGACTAGAGATATGTTTTTTATTCTTATTGATTTGTGTACTTTCATTATCCCAAATGCTTCCAGCAATTTTCAAACCTGGAGAAATTGGTTGATTTTAATCCGTTTGGTCGCCTGTTGATGACATCATATGTGTCATACATTGTGTTCCCTGCCAGAAGCTCTTTTTTATCCAGTTTTAAGCCACATACACTTTTTTTACACCTTGGTCTTTTGTTATTGTTTTGATTGAGAGACAAAAAAAAACCCCAACAACAACAGAGTTTTGATTGAGAGCCCCCTAGTGGCAGAAGTTCAGTGTGTTTAAACATGACAACAGAAAGAATCCTCCTCTCACAGCCTCAGCAGCAACAAGAGATCGCAAACGGTTGTTTTTGGACAGTATTTATCTCAGTACTACTTTTTGGGTTGCGCTTTTTGTCCATCCTTTTAAAAGCACAACACATTCTGTCTTTTATTGTGAAACTCCTGTGACACCATCAGGAAGACTATCTACGATCTGTCGCGTCACTTCATTAAGATG